GAAATGAGTCCCGAGACAAAGATTTGCAGCGCTGATATGCAGGAATTCGTATCCGGCGATTTCCATACGGTCATAAAAAAAAAAAACAGGCAGGAAGTGGGTCAGAGGCAGCAGAGCTACGAGCAATCCCTTATACTGCAGTCTTCCCTCCTTAATTACCCCCCCCTTCTCTTTGTTTCTCTCTCTCTCTTTCTATTGTAATGGCGATGGCTGACTCAGCTTGTGCAGAGGCGAGAGTGAGAGAGAGAGAGCGAGAAAGAGAGAGAGAAAGAAAGAGAGAGTGGGAGAGGGAGAGAAAGAAAGAAAGAGAGAGGGGGAGTGGGAGAGTGAGAGTTGTATGACTCACTGCTGGAAATCAACAGAACATCACCTTTGACACAGTTCGATTGCAATTGGAAAGATTCGCATTAATTTTGTGAAAATAGTATCACACACACACACACACACACACAAATGTCATGTCTTTTGTGTTGTCTTCTGACAACATGTTTCACACAGTGGAGTCCAAATACAATCAAAAAGATTTTTCATCCATATCATCCCCAATCCCAGGGTTCTCACAGCGCCGTGTTCTTGATCTTGTGCCGTAATTGGAATTTTGTGGCCTCGCTAATTGTTTCATCGTGACTTTTTCTCATTATGACGTACCCCGCCGGTTACAAATGAACTTCTTTGTGGTTACCATGAAGTCCTGGAACGTGTCTCGTTCGATTCAGTTCAGCTTTATTCGTTCAGCGCTTTTCACAGTGGACATAGTCGCAAAGCAGCTTTACAGAAATATAGCCATTTCAGATCTAAATTGATCAATTGATCCCAAATGAGCGGGGCGGTGGTGGCGAGGAAAAACTCCCTGAGACGATATGAGGAGGAAACCTTGAGAGGAACCAGACTCCAAAAGGGAACCCGTCCTCATCTGGGTAACGACGGGTAGTGTAATTATAAATACTTCCCTTCTATAACTATGTGCTATAGGATAAAACATTGAAGATTGCGACTGTGTAACCAGGAAATTCACCACAGTCTCAACAAACAACGTCTGTTTGTGCAATCCAAAACCGTCACCGCAACCGCAGTCCCAAGACCAGATCTGCAGTCCAATGCCATCTCCATGGCTTCCAAGAGTCCCCAGGCTGACCATATGTTGCCATCCTCAGCAACAGTGACTGGCCTCGAAGTGACGAGAACTCCAGAAGCAGGGCACCAGGACGGACCAGGCCGTTCCAGAGGGCAGAACGGGTCAGGCCCACTGCTATCCCAGGAGCAACACATGTCGAGCTTGTTATTGTGACGATTAGATGTTGGTAGCATCCAGTCGTCGCAAGTGTTGGCGCCATTTGGAATCTTCATAGAGACTGGTTCTGAGCTGCAGCTGGCACTGTCACTGATTACCTCGGGAATGGGCATGCGGGCATGTGGGATGGGCATCCCGAGGTAGGAAGAGGAAACAAATGGAGACGGATTAGCGTAGCTGCTGTTCACTGCATTTCAAGCAGAGATTCAATTCAATTCAGTTCAGTTTGATTTGTAGAGCGCTTTTAACAACGGACATTGACTCAAAGCAGCTTTACAGAAACATGTAAACACAGGATAGAGATTTAAGTGTGTGAAGTTATCCCTATTGAGCGAGCCGGTGGTGACGGTGGTGAGGAAAAACTCCCTAAGTTGTTAAGAGGAAGAAACCTTGAGAGGAACCAGACTCAGAAGGGAACCCGCCCTCATCAGGGTAATGATGGATAGTGTGAAAGTAAAGGAAAGTTCGTTATGGTTTTATATGAAGTCTGTTTGTTGAACGAATCCACTGTTCACTAAAGGAGACCTGAGTGAAATTGTATGTGGTACTTGTAGTCCCAAGGCCATCGCAGCAACGGTAGGCCCAGCAACCACAGCGAGAACGTCCATGTGAAATTGAGGTCAAAAACCATTTCCTGGTACTTCAAGTGGTACCGTCCTCAGCGTTTTCCAGGCTGTAGCCTCCAGTTGATGAGAGCTCTATCCAGAGGTAGGGCATCGGGATGGATCAGGCAGAGAGGGTCCGGATCACTGGCATCTCCATAACATCATGTGTGGCTCGACAGAAGATATGACTGGAGTACAAGGTTATGTGATGCATTATGTGAATGCTAGGCTAAAGAAATGTGTTTTTAATCTGGATTTTAAACTGAGAGAGTCTGCCTGAACCCCGAGTATTATTAAGAAGGCTATTCCAGAGTTCAGGAGCTGAGTGGGAAAAAGCTCTACCTCCTTTGGTAGACTTTGATATCCTCGGTATTATCAAAAGTCCAGAGTTTTGCAACCCCGAAGAGCATGAAGGATTGTAGCGTAATAGAAGATTGGTTAAATAAAGGTAGCTTGGCAGTATTTTATAATCGATAACGAAACTTAACATGTAACCAGTGTAGAGATGATACAATTGGGGTAATATGTTGATATTTTCATGATCTCGCAAGCGCTCTAGCAGCTGCATTTTGAACTAACTATAGCTTATTTATTGAGGATGCATTTAAGAGACTTCGTGGGAAACTCCAGGGAGCCGGTTTTCCGGGACGTAATCCATGATTAAGCTCCACCTCGAATCTGTTTGTAGTGCGAGGCCGGACAGCGTAAACTTTTGAACAGGATGAATCAGTGTAAACAGTTAATATTTTGTTTAAAGTTCTTATTTTATTTCATTTAGTACCGCCCTTCCGATGCTACATATATACAGATATTTACTTACCACATATTAGAGGTTCAAAAGCTAAGGGTACCACCCCAGCAACACGGAAAGGTACAGGTTAGTACCCTTTTCTGAGAGGCTGATATGTCAGGAAGCACATCATCAAGTTTGACTGAGATACTGAACCAACTCGACATGGTTTGAGGAGAGTGTGTGATGATTTGGGTATATGGTTCGCGCGGCGCTCATCCCGTATCCGTTAGTTTTCCTTAGCAACGCTAGCTATGTAGAGCCAGTGCAAAAGTAAAGATTTCAGGCTAGTCCAGTCAAGTACCTTTGGGATAAGGGGAAAATTGTGTACATTTCAGTTTTCAGGCTGATTAGATATTAGATAAGGAAAATAGAAAGAACGGCAAGAGGGGCTTATGAGAAAGTGAGTGAAAGGTAAAAGAAATAGACGACAGAGAAAAGAGAAACAGAGCCTCCACCCAGAGTGGGAGGATTTTTGGCCCTAAATCATACAGAGATCTTCAGGATGAAGAACACCAGCGCAGGTATTCGTCGCTCGTGCGGCTCCGGCACGCCGCGTTCTGTCCCGGCTAAAGTGTACAATAATAATAACGTCATAAAAAAGCGGGAAAAGATGGCGCTTCTTTTCTGTGGTTCTTTAATGGAACGGTTAGCGTGGCTCCACTACAAATTGTAGTTTTGAAACGTCTGCGAAGCTATTTTGATTGGTAATGATGTGGCTTGGGAAGAAGAAGAAGAAGAAGAAGAAAAAAAAAAAAGAGGCCGAATTTTTCAGAGCTGAAGTAAGTCTTTCCTGACTTGGGTTTCTGCAGGGAAAGTTTTTTCAAGGAGATCGCCGGGGAAAAGCTCCGGCTGCGACACGTGCTAGCCACCGACTGGTTACCGTGGCAACGCTCTGTGTATGTGTGTGTGTGTGTGTGTGTGTGTGTGTGTGTGTGTGTGTGTGTGGCCACAGCTTTCAGTTACCCTACCAACCCACTAGCCAACCCCCAAGACACCCCCCCCCACACACACACACACACTCTCTCCGAGTGTTTATGTTCTGAAAGAGATCCACGTGAAATGAAAAAGAAATCACAATTCTCTGTGTTAGTCATAATAAAAATGGTATCCTGGCAACGGGCCTGAATAAAAACACATTTCCATCTCTGCAATAACAAACTGATTCGATTACTGCGCCACCACGGCTGGGACGGTCCACCGCTCTCGTCTGGTGTGTGTGTGTGTGTGTGTGTGTGTGTGTGTGTTAGGTCTGTAACGAGTGTGTGAGTGTGTGTGCGTGTATGCACTAACAAGCTATGTGTTATGTTTTGAATGTGTCTTACTGTGTAAGAGTTTTAAAGTGTGTGTGTGTGAGTGTGTTAAGACTTTTTAAGGGAACTCGTTAGGGAACCAGCAGTAAACCCCTAATAACCAAAACAGCTTCATCATCACCCCTGTTATCTTCATCATCCTCTTCCAGCCTAGGGTAGATCCGTAAGGTTGTCCAGATTTCACTTCTAAAGTAACGAAATGTATTTTTTGGAAGGAGTCTCTAGTGTCAGTGCTTTGTAAAAATCAGCGGTAAAGCTGTAAATGTAAGTTGTTTCAACATGGGAAACTCTTTCAGTTGCATTAAAATAACGTGGCATGCTACACGTTTTAGCTTATTAGCTTCGAGAGAGAGAGAAAAGACTGAGACTGCTGATGGAACAAACGTTTGTAGATGCTGTAATGTAAGTGATTATATAACAGTAACTAACTCGTACCACAGCATTACCACAGTACCCCAGGGGATGTGCCACAGCATTAAATATACACTAACTATAACTTGGCAAACCGTACCATTAATAATGAAACAATTGGTATAAAAAGGGGTTTAAACAGTTTGGGATGTGCATTTTGTGGAAAATAATCAACTCTGCTGCATCGCACCATGAAATCATTGATTATTTGTCTGTAACAGTACGCCCTAAAGCATTTACTCCATGATTTTGAGTGATCATTACCCAACCTCCCTTGCAGCGTTCTGTAGATAAGGACAAAGATATTCGGTTGGGTTGAGAAGTTTAGGAAGGCAACTTTTTTGCCTCTTATGTGGAACCCAACCAATCTATCAGCTAATTTAATGGTGTATATATCTGATTTTCACCTAGAGCTTACTTCTTGGGGTTGTTTTCACCACTAGTTGTATTCCTTGGTAGTTCTTTTGCTTGCTAATTTATGTTTGAATAAAAAATGCCCCAGGGTTATCACACAGTTTGGCTGAGTAATGACCCATTGAGTTCCCAAATGCCAATTTACCAATTTTTACCCTTGAATACATGAGATTTGGACGGCTGTGGCTCAGTTGGTAGAGTGGGTTGTCCACACTAACCGTAGGGTTGGCGGTTCGATTCCGGCCTCGGGTGACTCCACATGCCGAAGTGTCCTTGGGCAAGACACTGAACCCCAAGTTGCTCCCGATGGCAAGCTAGCGCCTTGCATGGCAGCTCTGCTACCATTGGTGTGTGAATGTGTGTGTGAATGGGTGAATGAGACACAGTGTAAAGTGCTTTGGATAAAAGCGCTATATAAGTGCACATTTACCATTTCAGATAGGACTATTTGTATTGCTTGGAGTGCATCCGTGCAAGTTCTCTTTTGGTGTAGGGCGTGGCAGAATGAACTTGGTTGAGTAATAACACTGCAAGTTCTTGATGATACTGTGTCCGAAACCCTTTTGTTACTCAACCCATTTACAGCTGAGAATCCGAGGACTCGCACAGCCCCGACACCCCCCACCACGTCCACCACAAACTGCAAACTTTGGGTAAGACTGTAGAGAACCCTATCAGACTGTAGAGAACCCTATCAGATCTCAAGGTTATTAGCCTCTTTTGAGCCAATCCATCACCTTTGTGTATCCTCAGCACACCTCACCATTACTGCCCAACCTCAAAAGACCGTAGGGGAAGCAGAGTGTACCTTTGGACCATGGCCAGCCCTAATATGGAAAGAAAGAAAAGGAGAGACCGGGAAGAAAGAGGTTTCCTTTGGAAGCTTTTGTGCATTCACATTGCTCCTGCAAATACTCAGCAGGTTTACCTCAAGATAAATGATCACCGTCTCAACCTGATCTTCCTGAATCTCCTGAATCATCAGAAGGGCCAGTTCGGGACAGAGCTGATTTAAACCGCCGAGGAACGAATGTGTAAGGTTGATAGAGGGAGAGAAAAAGGGAGAGTGAGAAAAGGAGACTGAGGTTTGTGCGGCTGTCCTCGGATGCTTGTAAAATTTGGGTTTGCACAGATGGAAGTTGTGTAGAGGCGAGAGTGGAGCAGAGGTGACTGGAGTCTGGGGAGGGGAGGCGGTTAGGAAAACAGCAGAGAATAATGGAACTAGACAGAGTACTACTAGGAAGGGAGGGGTCCTGCAATTAAAAAAAAATAAAAATACCTCTCTAACTCCAAACACTCAAAGAAATCCTCTGCTTACATTTCAGCGTGGCAGTAAATCACTAGAGTAGGACCTTCTGAAAATCCATCAATCTGCCAACTCTAGTGATAAATTCTAGACCTTCCAAATTCAGTACCTTGCCAACTCCAATGTAACACTAATTCAGGACCTTCTAAATTCAGGACCCTGCCAACTCTGGTGTGGTAATGAATTCAGGATCTGCTAAAGTGCTAGCTCCAGTGTGATAAATTCAGGTCCTTCTAACGCCAATATCCTGCCAGGTCCAACATGGTAGTGAGCGCAAGACAATTTGAAATTTTAACACCCCACCAGTTCCAGAGTGGCAGTAATTCCAGTAGCATCCTAGCTCCTGTACCCATCCAATGGTAGTGTAACGGTAACTGTAAATGCTCCAATGTGGCAGTGAAGCCAGTCCCTTCTAAATGCAGTTCTTCAACAACTCCTGTGTGGTAAATGGAGGACCTTCTAAATACACTGCAGGACAATCTAAATCCAGTGTCTTCCTAAACTTAGTACTCAACCAACCAACCACAGTTTTTGTTACATCCAGTATCCCCTTTACTCCAGTACCCCATCAACCTCAGATTTGCCAAATCCAGTGTGCTTGTAAATTTAGTACTAGTCAAGTCATTAGTCAGGTTAGTCAGTGGAAAACTAAATCTAGTACTCTCCTTACTCCAGTATCTCGCCAAGACCATGTTTGGTAAATTCAGTTCCCTCCTAATTCTAGTACCCTGTAAAGTCCAGTGTTTGGTAAATCCAGTTCCCTCCTAATTCTAGTACCCTCTAAAGTCCAGTGTTTGGATAATCCAGTCCGCTCCTAATTCTAGTACCCTGTAAAGTCCAGTGTTTGGTAAATCCAGTTCCCTCCTAATTCTAGTACCCTGTAAAGTCCAGTGTTTGGTAAATCCAGTTCCCTCCTAATTCTAGTACCCTGTAAAGTCCAGTGTTTGGTAAATCCAGTTCCCTCCTAATTCTAGTACCCTGTATAGTCCAGTGTTTGGTAAATCCAGTCCGCTCCTAATTCTAGTACCCTGTAAAGTCCAGTGTTTGGTAAATCCAGTTCCCTCCTAATTCTAGTACCCTGTAAAGTCCAGTGTTTGGTAAATCCAGTTCCCTCCTAATTCTAGTACCCTGTAAAGTCCAGTGTTTGGTTAATCCAGTTCCCTCCTAATTCTAGTACCCTGTAAAGTCCAGTGTTTGGTAAATCCAGTTCCCTCCTAATTCTAGTGCCCTGTAAAGTCCAGTGTTTGGATAATCCAGTCCCCTCCTAATTCTAGTACCCTGTAAAGTCCAGTGTTTGATAAATCCAGTTCCCTCCTAATTCTAGTACCCTGTAAAGTCCAGTGTTTGATAAATCCAGTTCCCTCCTAATTCTAGTACCCTGTAAAGTCCAGTGTTTGGTAAATCCAGTTCCCTCCTAATTCTAGTACCCTGTAAAGTCCAGTGTTTGGTAAATCCAGTTCCCTCCTAATTCTAGTACCCTGTAAAGTCCAGTGTTTGGTAAATCCATTCCCCTCCTTACTCCACCATCTTGCCTACTCAGCTTTAATGGCACTGTTGCTGTAGCTGCAGAGCCAAAATAATCCACTGTCCAGATAATTTCATTTTTGATCCGTTTTCTTTCTAGCTACTTCTCTATCAAGGTCTATCTCGTGCCTTGGCTGAACTCGGAGTGGTCCCAGCTGTATCATTTGAGGCTGCTAGGTGGAGGAAACCCAAATGAATGTTTATTTTCACTAGAGGAGTGCTCGGTGGGCTTGCCTGTGCTGGAGTCGGTGTAATGAGAGCAGCTCTATCCGGACATGGAGAACGTACACACTTGGCCATCTGTTGGGACTCGGGCCTGTCTGTAAACTCACGCTCCATTTTAGGAGCTTTGATTTCCCTATGGTCCTCCAGCGAAATTATGCACTTAGAGACTGTAACTCGTCTTCGTGCTTCTCTGAGCGTGCTCGGCTGCAACAGTACTGATTGGTGACATAGAATCCGAGGTGTGTTTGGCCTCCTAAACCTCTGGTTCAGGGTTGTTTTGCAAAGGCAGAGGTATGTTAATCTTATCCATTCACATTTTTTGCCTATTGTCTCTGCGCTCCAGACCGGATCTCTGGTTTCCATCAGTCTCTCTCTTGCAGTCACCCTCCTTATCACTCTCTCTCTCTCTGTCTCTCTCTCTCTCTCTCTCTCTTTTCAGATCTTTTTTAGTCAAGCCTTGGACAGTTTATATAGTAACTGTAGCACTCTATCGTTGTGGTCTTCCAGCCCTGATTGCAGGCTGTGATCCTGGACAATGCCATGCTTAGTCCAGGACAGGGCCTCTTGACCAATCCAATCACCCATGTGCTGATTGCTTTGAACTCCTACTACAAGGAAGAGAGTCCAAATAACTCGACATAAAAGCGCATTATATTTTCAATTCAGTCTCTGTGCTACTGTGAGCAACTTCCAGGTTACATTCCTGAAGTGAATCTGACTTGCTTGAAGAAATCTTATCGGTTTCCCGTTTCGAAAATAGCTTTGTAAACTAACCTTGAGTATGCAGTAGGTGCTAGTCATATACCGAGTTGCCATTTTATTAAGTACGTACACTTATTGGTTAGTTTATCTCATAGGAGGTCCTCAGGAGGCTTGCACTTCTTACATGTCCCTGGAAATGATCTGGAAATGTCCCTGGAAATCATCTCTCGAAGATGATTCCTGGCAGAGGTTTCAAGAGCTTTCTAGAGTGTACACAGTATAGTGTGTGTATACCGTGAGAACGAGCTTTAACAGCTTTTAGTGTTGCTGTCTTTCTGGCCAGACGTCAGCACACACCCTTAATCCTCTGCAGTGACGTGAGAGGTGTATTGAGGTCAGCAAGGTGAACGTCAGAACCTAGGGTTAGGATTTCGGACGTGAACCTGCACCGTGCCGTGTGATTTTTGGGTCGTGTTGGGTGCAACTGGAACGGTTTCGATTGTATTGAGTGGTGGAGAGAGAATGTCCGGGTTGCTTCACGGTGTAGTCCTGAGTCGTGTTTGGCTTGGTGCTGGGTGGAGCTGGTCCCTTTACACGTGGAGGAGTAAAGAAAGTTAAGAGGCGTTCCCCAAGGTGATGATGTGGTGCTGTGTGTCGGGCTTTCAGGAGAAGGCAGTTTGTGCAGCTGGAAGAGTTTAGCGTTGGCGCTTTTGAGAACTGAACAATTAATTGCGTGTGATCTTCCGTGTTTCGTAGTCATGTTCACTCCTCTAACTACACTCTGTCTCTCTCTCTCTATCACTCTCTCTCACTGTTTTCCTTTTATACTGTATATACATCTCTCTCTCTCTCTCTCTCTCTCTGATTTTGTCTCTCTGCCACCTTCTCCACCCCTTTCTCTTTTTGTCTAACCCTCTCTCTAGCTGCCTTACATTGTCTCTTTATCTGTCTTTCTCTTTGGTTGTCATTGTCTCTCTCTATCTTTCTAGCTCTCTTTGTCTTGTTCTTTCTTTCTTTCTTTGTCTGTGCCTCTAATTTTCTCTCTGCCTCTTTCTTGTTGTTCTTCTGTCTGGCTTTGTCTCTACCTTTGTCTCTCTCTCTCTCTCTCTCTCTCTCTCTCTCTCTCTCTTTCTCCTTTTGTCTATATCTGTCTCTTTGTATCTCTCGGTATCTTTCTCTTTCTTTGATTGTGTCTCTGTCTCTTTCTCTTATCCTTCCAACTCTCTGCCTCAGTTCCTTTCTTTCTTTCTTTCTTTCTTTCTTTCTTTCTTTCTTTCTTTCTTTCTTTCTTTCTTTCTTTCTTTCTTTCTTTCGTCCTTTGTCTGTGTCAAACTTTCTTGCTCTTCTTCTGTCTTACTCTATCCAGCTCTTTTCTTCTCTGAATCTCTCTCCCCGTCTCCATCTCTCTGTTTTTCTCTTTGTCGCTCCGTCTCTTTGTATCTCTCTCTCTCTTTGTCCTCCCTCCCGCTTTCTCTCTGTCTTTATCTTTTCTTCC